GGTGGGGGGGGTGTCCCCGGGGGACAGCGCCTGCCTGGGAGTGCTGAGGGGAATCGCGACAACTTCTTGCTGGAGTCGCAGTTAAAGGCACCTTCGTCTCGTTGTTACTGAGTTCGGGGGCTGCTGGGCACGTCCCCGGTAACGGTGGGAGCGCGGCAGCTCAGCCCCGCAGGACGGCAGCGCTCTGCCGCGCCCAGCAGGACCGGGCAGCCCGGGGAATTGTTCAGGCTCTGCTCGCTGGTCGAGAGCCTGTGCGCTCTTGTCTCGGGAGTGAAAACTGTTCAGGTGTCTGGGCCCGAGCAGAGCACAGGCAGCTCGGGAAAAGGACCAGCGATGCAGTTCTGAACCATTCCCCTTGTTCCCATCCGCGTATCTGGAGTGGAGGCGATGTGGCAGTTGTTTAGTCTTTGGTTTTAGAGAGGTAAATGCGGGAGAGCCTTGGAACAGAACAAGAAGCAGTATTTCTTTCGAGAAATAAACACTTGAATCGTAATATTCCCGTAGTACCAGCGTTCGTTCTTTCACTGCTGCTGCCACCTCGGTACGTTGAGTCTCGGGCGAGAGATGTGCAAGTCGCCCCGTTCTAAGGCAGCTGTGTTGCTAACATCGAAGTCGGTCTGTTCGTTTCCTTTTTTTTAGTGAAGATCCATACAGCTCTTCCTCCCCGCAGAAGATAGTGATAGCCCTGGTAACAAGTCTGAAACGGCAGAAACTATCTGCACGCAGTGCCTGTAGCTCCCTCTCTCCTCCGCAGGTTGTGGCTGTGTATGGGACTTTATCAGATTTGCTGTCTGTGGCTAGTAATAAGCTTGGAATAAAAGCCACCAGTGTTTACAATGGAAAAGGTGGACTCATTGATGACATCGCTTTGATTAGGTAAGGCTTCTCCAATAAAAGTCAAGTCACGAATGGGGATTAAGGGACTTACTAGCCTATTAATCCTCTGATCTTGATCAATAACCGTTGCTTTCCTTCAAAACAGATCTAATCGTTGCCATCCAGTGTGCTCAAAGGTGTCTTCATGCCTCAGGGAAAAATACTACTGTCTTTTGAACTTCAAAGCATTTCTATCTTGATGGATCAGAATTTGATACAAGCTGCATTTTATGCCTTTTAACATCCTCCTGTGTTGATTCGCGGTGCAATGTATGTACCAGGACAATCCTACTATTCTCGTCAGCATTTGGATGAGGGTTTTCTTCTGAAAAGGAGACAAACTGTACCATTGCTTTGCCCTCACAGAATACTCCCAAGAGTGGGGAGAAAAGCAACTATTCTGTGAAACTAAATTGGTTGAGTTAACAAGTGCTCCCTACCTGCTTGATACAGATAACATCACTAGTGAAGTCAAGCATATCACAATCCACTGGAACCTGCAAAATTAAAATAAAAGTCAGACCCTGAAGTTCTGACTGATGGCAACTGATTATCATTTACCTCAGACTAATCAGGAGGTGTTTCCACTGTCAATTAGATGAACAAAAAATTACAATTTTTTTTTCTTTCTCCTCCTCTTTCCCTTTCAGGGACGATGATGTTTTGTTTGTCTGTGAAGGGGAACCATTCATTGGTAAGTCTGTCATGTTTAACCTTCTGTTTAATGGAAAGAGGGTTAGTTTTGCTTTAATACAAATCTAAAATTTTCTTTTGTGGTGTTTCCAGAAGATACCCCTTACCATATGGAGGATTCAGGAATACAATTTTTCTAATAATTACTGTGTCTCTCATCTGTGTAGATCCTCAGACTGATGGGAGACCTCATGAAGAACTAACAGGGTCGCACACAGATTGGTTAACCCTCAATGTTGGAGGCCGATACTTCACCACTACACGGTAAAAATGCAGCTAGTTGGTTTTGTTCTTAAAGCACCTGATTTCAGTGAAGTAGTTACAGCAGCTGGTGGTGTACATTCAGCTGGTGAGGCTCCACATGCTCTTGTGAAAGAGCTAGAAAAGTAACTTACTATGGAGTAGGAGGTCATTGACTTCTGCAACTTTGTATTTAATATTTGCTATCACAATTTGGCAACAAATTAATTCTTAAAACAGTTTAGGTATGAAATAAAACTGGTGAAAAACCTGAACAGGCCTGGATTTATCCTTGGAATAAATTCAAGGATATATATGGAAATATCCTTGGAATAAGTTCAGTTAACTAAGCGCTTTGTATTTAAAATACTTTCACAGTACTTCAGGTCAGAAACCTGTATTGTTGCCACACTCTATGAAATGAAAGCAGTAAGTGTTGTTGCTGTTGGAATGCTCGTTGCACACCGAGGGCAGAAAAGACTCCAACCAGCAAGCTTGTCTCTTTTGGAAGACACTCCATTGTGTAAAAATAAAACTGCACTGCCTTTGTTTTCTAGGAGCACTTTGGTTAATAAAGAACCTGACAGTATGCTGGCCCACATGTTTAAAGATAAAGGTTAGTATACTGAAATAAACTTTATTTTTCAAGCTAATTAGCAGAGTAGGTGAACGGCACTATCAAGTTGAGGCTCTTGTTCATATGTTAAAGTATCAAAAGTATGTTAAAGTATCGAAGCAGAATGTATAATCACTTTTTAAATAATTGTTTCTTTCTCCCTTACCGTTGTAATGCTTATCATCTCACAAACGGAAAGTATAACTTCCATCCATAGTTATTATTTTGGGGTCTTTGGTTTTAGATTTTCATCTTATTGTTGCATCTTGCTCGGTTTTGTCAGCAGAATCAATGGGCAAACACTACATGACAGCCTTTAGGAAACTGAAATCTTAATGCTGCTTTTATTCTAGCAATGATTCTTATGTGTGTGATAAAACGTTTCAGTTTATTTGTAGCAGGAGTGAGTTCTTTTTAAGGCGATTTTCCCCTACCCCCTCTTATTTTCGTTCCTTTTCTCTAAGAAACGCCCTTTCAAGTGGAATTTTTCATAATCCAGTACCCTTTGGTAGTAAAAATCTGAAACTGAAGCAAATGCTCTTCTATTAATATATCAAATTTAATTATATATATGTTGTGGAAACAGATGCTTGGGGAAATAAGCAAGATCATAGAGGAGCATTCCTAATTGACCGCAGTCCAGAGTATTTTGAACCAATTTTGAACTATTTGCGTCACGGACAGCTCATTGTAAATGATGGCATTAATTTGCTAGGTAGGTATTACCTGTATGACATCTCCTAAATTATTACTCTTTAGAAGTTAAACTTTGCCCTCAGGTAAACACGATCAAGTCAGTGGGAGTTTTGTATGCTCATCTAAAGGTTCGGGATTTTTCTTTGCTGAATTTATTCTCCAGCATTGCAATTTCAGTGCTTGGTTTAATGAAGATACACTGTTTAAACTTAATTGAGAGCATTAAAAATTCTCCCTTCTGGATGCAGTATCTTTAACCCAATACTGGTATTGGAAACATCCTTTCTGAGGTGTTTTTTTTTTTCCTATTAGCTGCAAGCAAGCTTGCTTTTCCCCTATCTAGTTACATCTAACATAATGTATGTGGTTGTCAGTTTTATTAGCATATGCATTTATTCAAGACTCCTTAAACTTCCACAAGTGGTCTGTTTGTCTTTGTTAGTGTAGCTAAAATGTCTAACAAGTAGGGCAAGTCGATTGAATTGATGCTCCTCCAGTAGTAAGGATGGATTAACCCAAACTTCCTGGCTACACACTGCCTTCTCCAGTGAGGGAAGAAGAATGTCCTCTGGTTTAACGACTCCCTGTGAATAACAACCGCTGCTTTGTTTTGTTAGGTGTTTTGGAAGAAGCCAGGTTTTTTGGCATCGATTCTCTAATTGAACATCTAGAAATAGCTATTAAGGTAACTTGTTTTCTTTAATACCTGAATGCACGTGTCCCGTTCTTCCAGGCACTATATAATTTAGTCCTGTCCGTATTAGCTTTTAAACAACTCTCTCAACAGAATTCCCAGCCAGCTGAGGATCATTCTCCCATATCCCGAAAGGAGTTTGTCAGGTTCCTGCTGGCAACCCCAACCAAGTCTGAGCTGCGATGTCAGGTGAGAAGACGCAGACTTTGTCTTGCTCTGTGGTGTCGGTGTCTGGTGGTGAAACATCCTGCAGCATCACGTGACAACACGAAAGCCAAACGACGTGTGCTTCCCCCCTGCTTTTTAATTGAGTTTTGATTCCAAACTATG